GTGATATGCATAAAGGAGTGAAATATGACACATTTTATGGGAATGCATTCATTTTCAGTCCCAACACCTACAAGTTTAAAGATGGAGGACTAAAAAGATATTTAAAGAAATGAAATTAGAGTCCACTATAACCGAGTTACCAAGCTATAAGCTGTTCACTATAAGCGTTAAAAATAACATTATTTAAATAGGAATACGGACGGGACCACTAAAAAAGTTCACTACATCCGAGTGTTCACTATATCCCAGGTTCACTATAGCGGGGTTCGACTGTATATATATATTGTATTAAAAAATTTCAATCGATAATACAAATTTTATGTCAGATATATAAAAATGCATGAGTTCTGTTATACGTGCACAAATTTAAAAAGTGAATAATTTGATTAACGTTTGATCTTATTATTGGATTTTTATTTACTAGACTTAATCAATTTGTTGCCGACCAGCCTGTGTAGGGGGCAGGGAACTGTACTTGCATCAGAAAGGTCTTGGGTTCGAATCCCGGGCAAGGCATGGATGTTTATTTCTCTCTCTCTGTGTTCTATGTCCTTTCTCCTTTGTGTCTGAATGTGACCAGCCCTATAAACGGGTTGTGGTTGTGTGAATGGCGTGGCAGAAGCCATAGATGGCGCCACTGGCCATAGATGGCGCCACTGAAAAACAGGAACAACGCACCCCTATTTCCTTAAACAGGCATACAACAAAAGAAAAAAAAATCAATTTGTTTTTATAAAGGGGATTGTTCAGTAGTGAAGACTATATTTTAAGTTACGAAATCAGATACAAAAACGTATTTTTGTATTATGAAACGAATCCGAATTTACACACCTTTTTTTGGTCAAAGTTGGATTGTTGACTCTCAAAATATGGGTGAGGTGTGGGCAATCTGGAAAATGTAGTCCCAATAGTTAGTTCATTGGAGTAATAAAATGTTTGGACTCTTAATGCTGGTTTTATTTTTTGAGCATTACACTATAATTCTGAAACTTTTGAAATGAATCGAAAAAAATTTCCACACAATTATTTATAAGAATTTATTTCATGTAAAAATGATTGTTTATTATTTTTTATTACTTAATTTAATAAGATTGTTTTAAATTTATTTTAATTTATTTAATTAGAGTCGAAAAAGTTCAAACAGTTCGGCACACAAATTTACGCATCTTAAAGTAGATAATTTTAAATACCAAAATACAAAATTTTAACTTAATTGAATTAATAGCTTCTAAGCTGTTTAATTTTAAAATGGAGTTTATTTAAAATGCGATTTTTTAAGAACTATTTGGTCGATTTCGCTAATTTTTTTTATTTTTAATTATTATTTTTTGTCAGATATTTCAGGTTTACTTAAATAAAATTTTACTTCTGGAAATGTTTTGGGTAACAAAAGGCGTAAAACATTCGCATTCTTAAAATGATCCATGATCACTAAAAATGATTGCTACTGCATAATCTCTTTTGACACGCACGATATTCACATTTTATGCATAATTCTAGAATTCTCCATCACCATTTGCATATGTTTATAATACAGGAACTACATAAAATAGTTTCAAAAGTTTTCGCTGAACTAACGTTTAATGTATAGTACACTCAACATTAACACATAATTATAGAACTTTACAAACTTTTCAAAACATGCCCAAATCTAGAACTGTACAAGGAAGTTCTTAAGCATTTATTTTTTAAAAAAATAGGATACATTAAGTTGAAAATTAAAAGAAGGAAATAAAAATATATTGAAACAAATAACAAGCAAACAAATAAATAAAAATAACAGAATGCTTCGAAACAATTAAATATACAAACTTTGCTTGTCTTTACTTATTTTGAAATAGATTTTTTTTAAATTTTATTTATGAATTTACAGGATTTTCTTTACTTAATACTTTAAATCTATATAATATTAAATATTTTAATTATTGATATAATAAAAGAAGTTAAGTAATTAAATATGAAATATTACAAAAATGTTAAATATTTATATTTTAATTTTTTTTTCTTTATTTTCTTTATCAAAAATTTCTTCGACGGATTTTTACAAAAAAAAATTGTTGACTTCCTTGCAGTGGTCGCAACTACCTATAAAAAAAACTGAAAAGTAGTGATCAATTATTTAAACTAAAAAATAAAAGTTTTAATTTATTTGAAAGTTAAAAAAATATTTAATTTTAACTTCATTTTAAACTTCATTTTAAAAACAACAGAGGATGAAATCTTTAAGCAAAATAATCTATCTATCTATATTATATAAAACGCTAATACGTATGTATCAATAAAACCGATGACATTTCTTTTCTCGCGTTGGCAACCGCGGACCCCGGTCACTTCTTCCGAAGATTTGACCGTAGTGAGCGGAACTTTAGCCGGATATTTCATCACTGGAACTGTGAAAGAATAAAGATGTAGTTTTAAAGAAGATTGATAAATAATCACAATCTATATTATATAAAACGCTAATACGTATGTATCAATAAAACCGATGATATTTCTTTTCCCGCGTTGGCAACAGTTTTCATTTTTAATTGATGGGCTTCGGCGCGTAAGAGCACGTAGTGTGCATCATATGGTTGATCTATATTATATAAAACGCTAATAAGATTTAATTGATAGGCTTCGGCGCGCAAGAGCACGTAGTGAGCATATCATATGTCTAATCGGGTGAATTCTCACCGAGTTATCAAAACAATTCTCACAAAATTATCTTCATCGAAGCCGATGCTTTACATCCGGCTTTCAGTACTATTTCATATTGTTTTACAACACATGGTTTTATCCCTCTGGTGGGAACGACTTTAAAACAAAACTTACAACAGTTACTTTTCTCAACAACTGAAATTTAGAANTGTCTTTGATGATAATATATTATGTCTTTGTGCTAGAACATTGTGTTCATTGGCGAGCGAGCGCAGCGAGCCATGGTTCACGGCGTGAACCACATAGGATTGCGTAGCAATTCTCGGGGGTTGGCGAGCGTTAGCGAGCAGGGGGCGGAGCCTCCTAGTATTATATAAAACGCTAATACGTATGTATCAATAAAACCGATGATATTCTTTTCTCGCGTTGGCAACAGTTTTCATTTTTAATTGATAGACTTTCCTCGCGCAAGAGCACGTAGTGATCATCATATGGCTAATCTATATTAGATAAAACGCTAATACGTTTTAATTGATAGGCTTCGGCGCGCAGCGAAAGAGCACGTAGTGAGCATCATACGGCTAATCGGGTGAATTTTCTCACCGAATTATCAAAAAAATTCTCACAAAATTATCTTCATCGAAGCCGATGCTTTACATCCGGCGTTCAGTACTATTTCATATTGTTTTACAACACATGGTTTTAGCCCTCTGGTGGGAAAAACTTTAAAACAAAACTTACAACAGTTACTTTTCTCAACAACTGAAATTTAGAATAGTGTGATTAAGAAAAATATGTGAACTGTTTGCAATTTCAAATTAATATTGAAATGCACAGGTTTAGAATTTTCTACAGTGAAAAGTTTTCGGAACTTCAGTGTTCAAAGAAGTATACAAAAGCTAGACGTTAAGAGCGTATCCAATGAGCGAGCAAAACGAGCATCGGATTGCAAAGCAATCCGAAATGAACTGCGAAAGCAGTTCCGGGGGTTGGCGAGCACCAGCGATCAGGGGGCGAGGCCTCCTAGTATTATTTAAATTGTTTAAATATCGTAGTAGTTAAAATATCTCGTTCCTCTATAATAAGCGAAAAGCATCTTAACCAACCGCTATTTTTAATAGGCCTCAGCGACTACATAAATTCCGAAGAAGTCAAATGCCAGAAAATAAAAATAAAGATATACAGGAGTGAGGAGTCCGCCTCGAGGAGAAGTACTCAGTCTGCAACTTCAGTTCAAGTGCAGCTGTCTTGTGGTGACTGTTTTAAAAAGTTGCCTTGAATATCTTTAATATACAAGTTTTATTATTTAATTAGCTACCAATTTATTAAACTTGTGAAGAAAGGGGTGCAGTTGGCATCCCTGAAAATATCCACATGATGATGCTCGAAAATATTAAATTTCTGTTGTACACTTACCAAGTTTTCAAAAGTAATATACCTTTAATTTTACATGTTATTTCAAAAATGACTGCTAAGCAAAATTATTCATGTTCACTAATACCCTGAAGAGCCAAAAAAACTGGTATATCTGCCTAATATTGTGTAGGGCCCCCGCGAGCACGCAGAAGTGCCTCAACACGACGTTGCATGGATTCGATCAATGTGTGAAGTAGTGCTGGATATAATTGACACCATGAATCCTACCGGGCTGTCCATAAACCAGTGGGAGTAAGAGGGAGTGGGGATATCTTCTGAACATCAGGTTGCAAGGCATCCCAAATACGTTCAATAATGATAAACCATCTTGCTTTTGTTATTTTTCTGAGGATTTTATTCTGGCATATTTTGAGTTTTTTAAGGAGTGATGTGGAGATGTTGCACCAAGCTGGAGATGCATAAGTTAGGATTCTAAGAACTGTGCTAGACACTCGTTGTCTTATATACGCGTTGCCGATCGCAGAGCTGTACTTTGATTGGCTCTATACCCCTTTATTTGCATACTCATGCATGTACCAGTTTTTTTGGCTCTTCAGTGTAGATCTTAATATAATAATCAGGAAAATGTTTGAGCGTGAGAAGTGGGGGCACAATTGAAAGCAAACCAAATTAAGTGAATAATTTCAATTTTCGAAGAAAACACTGTTTTATGCGACGGAAACAACAATTATTGCGAAACAATCTGTGGGGTTGATGAGTGGCAGCGAAAAAGTGCCTTAGCCTCAAGTGTGTAAACAAATATCGGAATAGGTACTGTAACAATTATTTTGTATTTTATCTTGTTCTAGAGAAATATCATTGTTTTGTTTCGAAGTTATGTATGCAGTAAATTAATAGTATTATTAAGTTACTGGAATGAAAACGAAATTGTTGGAAAGATACTTAAATTTTTGATCCAAATAACTTTGTTTTTTAAAATCCAGGTTATGTGTGTACAGTATTGGCCAACAGACCTTGATAAACCAGAGGAATACGGAAACATTGAAGTCACTTTACTTGGCGAAGAGCAGCTTGCGAATTTTTTCATTAGAACACTCAAAGTTCGAAAAGTATGTATTGTAGTTAATATTAATTAAAATAGAAAAAAAACGTTTGTCAAAAATATATGGTATGTTTCTGATATCCACATACATTTCTAAACGAGTGATAGTCCATATGAAAATTTAGAACGTCATAGCAACAAATGACTTGGCATCGTAAACCTCTAGAAGTACCTCCACATTACGATATAGCTGTTCAATGATTTATCTGAACAGGTGATCTTATGCAATTAAATAATCAAATCATAAATTTAATTTATGTTAATTCTATGTTTACCATTATTAATTTATGGAAATTCATTACAATAAGTCCAGACATACGAAAGATAGTATACGAAACATACGAGACATACTACACGAAAGATAGTGTACGATTAGTAAATAATTAAACAACCGTTTTATCGTATTTTATAGTTTTGGTGCCTTGTGCGCCAAATCACTCAGCTCTGATTAAGCAGCTATTTCTGAACCTATTTGAATGCTACTTTCGATATTTATTTAAAAAAATTTAGATGCGTCTTATGATAACTAGTATCGGCTCAAAAACGTAGGGGCGTTGATAGGTAATTGTGCCAATGGTTTTATAAAACCAGGTGGACTGCGCTGCTAGCATCTTATTCCCCCTTGAGAAAGGTTTGATCACCGCAGATGGCTAGCCGAGCCAACGCCTCCTACAATTGAAAGCCTCCACACGGTTTTTTGTAGGTAGTCCGATCAGACCACTGTGAAAGTAAACCAGTTTACGAAAGATCCATTTAATGGAAAATCTAGTGAAAATAAGAAAGTGGTAGCAAATATATGTCTAAAAATTTGTTTAATTTATGAATATGATTGGTTTGTTTTATTCACTACAGATTCAATTCTCAAATATATAAGGTAAATTTCTCTCATTCACTTTTTACAATAGAATTTGGGTTCATGCGCACTACAGGTTCACTTTTTAAATAGTCTGCTCAGACTACCTATAAGAAACCATGTGGAGGCTTTCTGATGTAGGAGGTGATGGCCAAGCCGGGAAGTGGGTTTGTGGCTTTTCATGGCCAGTGCGTTAATCGTAATCCACTGAGCTCAAAGCAACCCTTGTGACAATCCTCCTACTTCAATCATGCAGTAAAACATTTTCTGATAAAATCGTGGTCTCGCCAAATAATCTCCAGAAGCAAGTGTGCAGTGGAGGGATATAAGAAGAGAGATCTACCTATAGAAGCGCAATCCGCCTATTGTGAGGAGTGGAGGTTATAATGAAGGTAATTACTGAGCGCAGTCCACCACTGCCTGCGCAGGGAAACAGCAAGTCCATAGCGGCGCGTGCAATCGTATTTCAGCAATCAATTCTTTGTTCTTATGACTTGCCACACTTTCCCTTCAAATATGTAACCTCGTCAATGAGTAACCTTGAATAATGATCCGAAAACTAAAATCAATGTACAGTTTCAGAATTTGTATTAAATTCAGATTTTATTTGCAGGCACAAGAAGAACGAGAAATTGTTCAACTTCATTACACCAATTGGCCTTCACACACATGCCCTTTTCCTAGTGCATTATTAGAATTTAGGAGGCGTGTCCAAGTGTATATGATGCGTTATCCTAGTACGGGACCAGTTATTGTTCACTGCAGGTAATCTATTCATTCAAGTAAAAAAACTTAATTGCAATTTTTTGACTATACTATTTCTGACTGTATTTGTTCCAATATTTAAATGTGTTTAAGACTTTGATACTTACATTCTTATGCTTAAATTATAGATTAGATCTTTTCCAAACAAAATATTATTGTTTACTCTTAACTTCCATCATAGGGTACAATAAATTTCTTTTTTTTTTCTTAAAAAAAGAGCTGAATCATTTTGAAATTATAAATAAACCTTCAATGGTTACATTATAGCTTTACAAAAGTGGTTCATTGGTTAAAGGCAATGAGCTGTCATTGTGAAGGACTGGAAAACAGAAAGAAGCGCGTACCCCTCTACATTAAAATAAGTTCACTGATATCGACAAGTAGTATAAGACAACAGCAGCAACCAATATTAGACCTAGCTAAAACAACACCCTGATTAAGCATTCTATGATAATAATTTGTGTTAATGACTATAATACCACGTATTAGAGTATTTATTTACTAAATTAGATAAATTTTATAAAATATATAAATTATTTACCATTTTACTTCCATCCATGCATTCATTGAAATTTAAATTTATTAACTAAAATTGAAATAGGAGAAAGCATAAAATTTCTATCTCTTTAAATATGTAAGAAAATCCTCCCGTTAAATCCGGAAAAATCATTACGAATGGTCACATCAGAGAAAAAACAATTGCAATAAGATTATTTCATAGCTGTCTAGGATATTTGTATCATAAATTCAAATATAAATTGGTATTTTCTCATTCTGTAGGGAATGAATAAAATACGAAAAATAAGATGCACAGTAGGGTCCGTCTAATAAAACTAAAATATATCAAATCCAAATATATATAACATTTTTCACTTGAAAAGTATTTATTTCTAAAAACACAGCAGTATGTCTTGTATGTACTGGCAACTCATCCGAAGAATGGACCGATTCTGAAGTATGAAATCTCAAAAATGGTAAATTGATTCATTGAAAAAAAAAGCTATAAATTTATTCAGCTTCGTCAAGAACTTCAGTTTTTAAAATTGTTTTTTGAAAAAAAAATGATTAATATTGTCTATTGAAAAAATCTATGCATTTATTCGGCCTTGTCAAGAACTGTTCTTAAAATTGTTTTTCGATAAAAATCTTAAAGAATAGTCATCCTATTTTTATGCTTTCTGTTTTTAATCCCATAAGTCTGTTTTTTATCTTTCACCTTGTATTTGAAGGATAAATCATTGAATTCTTTTAGATTGATTTTGGCAGTACAATCTTTAGGAGAGTTGTAGCAAGATCAAAAAGAAATATGTGAGTTGTTTATCGCTAAGAATTGATTTGACAACTAATGGTGGCATCTTTCCATTTAAATTGAGAGACCGCCAATTTTTATGCATTCTTTTATAGCTTGTCGCTAGTCAGCATTTCATTTTGAGTAATGAAACTTCCTTAACTGACGCCAAAAATTGTTCCTCATAAATTTTTTATCAATAATTCATTTGTAAACATTCAAATTGCTTAGTGGTGAAAATAGGAGAAAATTTAAATGATTGAATGAAAACTGAAGTTGCCAAGCATGATAAAAACATGAAATATTCTGATAAAAACTGCTTCGCTAATAAACGCATCCCTGCCAACTTTTAAAGTTTCAGAGGATTATTTTTCAAAGTTGCAGTAAAATTAATAGTTAATTACAATTGTAGGCCGAAATACATTATTTATTTGGTAAGACCTAAAAACCTCTATCATAATGAGTTGATTTAAAATTTGAACTGGGCACCTGGGTCACGAAGCGACCCCTATCCTACCGATAACATTTTGTATGCATTCATTTTATTTTTAATTTTATTTCATAACCGTCGTTGAAAAGCAGACCCAACTTTATGGGTTTACGACAGCTAATGTTCAACTCCATATCCTTGTAATTTTGAACCCAATCCAGAAGACAAGGGAACTCCTTGATCGAGTATTGGGAGAAATTTGACTTATTGATGGAGCTAACCAGCATTTGCGTTACATGGAGAGGAAGCCCTCGAGAACCTCCCACAGTTAGCCAGACGGCAAGGGGACTCTAACCCATGATCCGTCTACCACTGAGGATATTTCACGTCAGCACTGTGGCCGGTGCTAGACGGATGCGGAATTCGTATTGCCTGGGATTCGAACCCGGTTGGAAGGCGAATGTTCTATCCCCTGAGCCATCGCGGCTCTGTATGCATTCATTGGGGTATGCAGTTATTGTGGGGTTGCTTTAAAAGATATATATATATATATATATACATATATATCATACCTGCCAACTCTTCCGGATTTTCCGGAAGATTTTATTTTCACATTTAAAGTGGTAGTAAATATATACTATTTTTTCTTTTATAAATTTAATTTTTAAATGATTTTGATCACCACTATTCTTACAAAAATTAAGCACATATATCAATATGCGTTACTATCATGGTTGTCAACT